TCTAGGGCTGGCTTTGAAAAAAACTGACATAAACATAGTTATCGGGACAGAAAATGTTTTTAAAGCGTTCCCTACGCCCTACTATGGGAGTCCGAGAGCTGAAATTTGGACTCAGAGTAGCTGAAACAATTCTCTATCGATTCATCGTCTTAAAAACTCGATATCTCTAATACGTTTTCCTCCAGAGTGACATTTGTCCTTAAAACCTTGATTGTCCTAAAAACCCTAATAGTTATAATTATGACTAGGAATGGCAAGGGTACATGTATTTTCTAAGCTGTTCAGTAATTTTTGATAAAACAGAACCATGATGCCTTAATTTCTTTAGTGAAATTAAAGATGGTGGATTGTTGGTGAATGACTTGACTTTGCTTTGAAAACTCTTCACTTGCCTTATATGTTATTGCTAGTTTTCTGACAGCAATATTTCGTCAATTCTCTCCAAATTCACACGTTCACTACTGACACTAGCATCCCGACGACACTTATACTACCTAAATTACGTGAATGGCTCCGTTCTCTTCTTCCAAACACTTTCTAATTGTACAATATACGTCTATATATGCGCCATTTTTATTGTGGGAGGTCTACTGTTTAGCACGTGATGTTAGACGATAGGTTTGATTGGCTGTGACCGATAATTTGACCGAATAATAGACGCGCGCAAATACTAATGTCCTTACGCACTACGGATTTTACTATAAGTAAAGAGTCCCTTTTTAAAACGTAAAATACAAGAAAGAACTATTATTTTTCGACGGGAACTTTTTGATTATTATATCCACAGTATGTACCCTGTTCGTACTAAAAATTTCTTCTAATACAATTTTGTCGGAGCGGCTTTTGATTTATAACGAAAACTTTCACTGTGAGAATAGGGCCTATATGTGCAGAAATATTTGCATCTGTTATTCGTGAAAGTCCTGATATCTCTGCTCCCAAAACACCTAATCGTAATCCAAAATTATCACAATTTGCAGACGATACCACTATTTTGAAACATTGAATCACTTAACAATACCCCTATGTATTTTAGAAGAGTTGAAAATTGCAAGTGGATTGAAAGCTAATTATGACAAATGTGAGATTTCCCCACACGGTGCCCTGAGAAAAAGAGGAATACATTATGATATACCAAACAACATTAGAATAACACAGGAGAGCATACCTGTTCTAGGTATCAAAATTCCATTAAATAACCAGCTTAATTCTATATGGCAACTCAACTTGAAAGTATTAAGAATATATTAGCTCTTTGGAAAGGAAAATAAAAAACATTGAATGGAAAAATCCTCATCTTAAAATCATTAGCACTACCAAAAATACTATATCAAATATCCATATTACCAAACCCACAAATTACAATGTTAAAACAAATAGATCAATCATTCTTTGACTTTATTTGGGACAATAAACCGCATAAAATTAAAAAAGAACAGATGTGCTCTCCTATACCACTAGGTGGCCTTAATGCCCCAGATATATTTACTTTTTTCCAATCAAATAAAATTTCATGGATAAAAAGATTATTAAGCAAAAACTATCCACAGTTGTGGAAACTATCGATAAAAAATCAACTGAATATAGCATCTGCCATTGACTTAAATATATTTCAGCTCAATTTAAATTCCAAAGACATTAACATCACTTAATCTAAAAGACAATTTTATATCAGACATTTTACAGTACATAAAGACAGCATCATATGGTATAACTCACTTATTAAGATAAAAAAACTAGTTTTTTTCAAATCATAGTTGAAAATAA